TGCTCAAAGTATGTAAGGATGGCAATATTGAAGTTGAACCCTGAAGATCGTTTTCCGTCTGGCATAGTGCTATTAATTAGGAGGCGGCACGAATATACCTTTTGAATTCAAATGCGGGAAAACACTCTTGCATTTCATTTTATCTAGGTACTCCGCAAACTACAATTTTCGGCAATCTAGAGAGCTTAGCGTATCTTTCTAGTTCGCATTAGGTACTCGTCTCCTCGATTTCGCCAAGAAAACCTCAAAACGCGTACTTAGAGCCTTAATTTTAGCAAATGTTGCATACTAAACAGAAAATGTCTTTAGTTTTCAGTATTGCATTCTCCTTAGCTTTTATATTTTCAAAACCATAAATGTTTGGATATCTTCATTTGACATGAAGTGGGCTTTTAGTTTGTGAATCCTATGGGTAGGTGCCTACACAATGAATGTTGAGAATGGAAACAATGGAAACAAGTAGCTTGATAGCATATAATAATCTAAATTGTATCATATCTGAGGATCTGAAAAATGGGCTTGAATTATAGCTTTTTTTCTTCTGATTTTGCAAGTACGACCTGAAAAGCTACCAAAGTGCACTTGTTTCTTTCTAACAGGGGTTGCGCTCAAAAAATAGCGATTGGTGACAAAATTTGAAGCAAAGCTGGAACATTACAGAAATCTCGATGTTTGTGTAAAAATACAAATTTCCGCTTCGCACTTCATGACTACAAAAGAAAGTTTTGAAAAGACAACTATTTCTGCCCACTGTTAAAAAATCTTTTATTTTTCACTTTTTTTGCTCAGTTGTCAAACGAGGAGGAAATGCGTATGGAGATGAGATGGTAGTACCATACGGTCGTGCTCGTCCCGCAGCGCCAGCACCGGCAGTACCAGAGCAACCTCCAGCGGTGGTCGAGCAGCCACCTCCACCGGAAGAGCCCAAAGTGGTAGAAAGTGGATACCGTTCGTGATAGCCCACTAGGACGAGTTTTCGTATGAATTAAGTAAAATATAATTCATATAAAAGTCGTCCTAATTTAA